TGAGAGCGGGTTACAACCAGGCTAACTGGCTCAGAAGACTGAATAAGCTCAGGTAGAATTAACACATCCTGCCCCAACACTACAGGATAGCTCAGTCCTTTAACCACTCCCACGTCCAATGAAAATATCTGACCTTTGACCTCCAGACAAATGTCTGCTACCGGGTAAACATGCTCATCTCCATTCACACAGCAAACCCTGAGCTGACCTTTCCCCAACTCAACTGGCTGCTTTACCAGATGGGGCTGGACTAAGGTGTGAATGCTACCGGAGTCTAAGAGAGCAACTGTAGTTTTGCCATTTACTTTGACCGGTGTAGTCTGTAATCTGGCAACAACTCCAGTTCCAGGCCCTGACAGGCTACACAGGTTTTTAGCTTTCCTAACGGGGCAATCCCGAATCATGTGACCAGGTTGGCTGCAGTAATGACAGATAACAAAAGTCCTGTTCTGTGTAGCTGTGGGTGCTGGGGCCTGTCTAGGCTGTGAGGTGGCTGGGGCCTGTCTAGGCTGTGAAGTAGAAGGAAAAGGGTAGGCCTGTTTATCTGGTATCCTACTCTGTACGGACCCCCTAGGACCAACTCCACCACCGAATCCCCCAGACTTACCTCCAATAGCTGGTCGGCTGAAGGTCTGAACCCGGAAAATCTTTGGCCCCTGACGAGCAGCAAGGAAGGCTTCCACCAGCTCTGCAGCTTGCTGGCCTGTAGCTGGGCGGTGCTCCTTCACCCAGACACGCACCTCTGGAGCTAGGGTACGCAGGTACTGTTCCAGGACCAGAATTTCTCCTACTTCCTCCACCGACTTCCCGGATGGCTTAATCCACTTCCTGTAGAGGTCCATCAGGCGGTTGTACAGCTCCCGTGGAGTCTCCCCTGTCCTGACCTCTGGATCACGGAAACGCTGCCTGTAGACTTCTTCATTTATCTCGAACTTGGTGAGAATAGCGTCTTTCACTTTATCATAGTCCGTGGCATCAAAACTGTCCATTGCCACATAAGCTGCCCTGGCTCGGCCGGTAAGATATGGCACCAGGTACACAGCCCAGTTGGCTCTCGGCCACCTATAGGCGACAGCAAGTCGTTCAAAGGTTGTGAGGTACTGTTCAATGTCGTCCCCCTCTTCCAGCTTTGGCACTGCTGCTCTGGTCCAGGCCACTGGGGACGGCGCTGCTGGGTCGATTGCTGGATACAGTGAGGCTGCTGGAACTGGCACAGGAAATGGTGCGGCCGACGCCACCACCGGATTCAGCAGAACTTCAGGTGGCACCGTTGGATGCTGTGACACTGGTGGTGTGGCTGCCGGACTCCGCTGGGCTTCTGGAGATGGCACTGGTGGCCTGACTGGCAGTGCTGGTACAGCGGCTTCAAACACAGGTCGCTGAGGCCCCTCTCGCCCAGAGTCCAACTCATCCCACACATTGTTCAACTGGACCTGAACGCTACGCCACCTCTGTTCATGCTTGTAGGACTCATGCTCTTGGGTCTTGATAGCAGTCTGTAGCAGGTTGTACAGTGAACGCAGGTCAAGCTCCCCGGACACTTCAGCTGCTCCTCCTGTGGCTCCACCCTCAGCATCATCAGCTGAGCGCTGGACTCCCTCTTCTTCCACCAAGTCCTCCTCATCACAAGGAAGCTCCATTGAGTCAGCTTTGGTCCGCCTGACCACTGACATCGCAGACCTTGACTGCAGCCTTCCTCCTCCTCTCCTTTTCGTAGACTTCTTCGGCGCCACGATCCCACTTCTGACACCACATGTGAGAAAAACGGCTCGCCAGCTCTCGTCTCACGTCAGAGGAGGAGTAAGCAGATGACTTGCAAAAATTAAATGGTAAGAACCAGCGGACGACAAAATTCCAGTTAAAAAGCGTGTAGCAATTTATTTACTGGCGATGGTGAAGACAAAAAAAACAAAACAAACAAAATACTTTCAAATAAAGAAAACAAAACCGGCCATTGCAGGCAATACAAAAAACTGACAGCCTCACAGCAAGCTGACATTAAATAAAGTTTTTTAAAGAAGACCTTCCAAAGGAGTTTCTCCAACCAGCCCTCCAAGCAGCCCTCTAAGCAGACCTCTCAAGCAGCCCTCTAAGCAGACCTCTAAGCAGCCCTCTCAAGACATTGTGAGTATGCCCCTTAAATAGACCCACCAATAATTAACCAATTGGGACAGCCCAACTGAACAGGAAGGCAAATCCCAAATAAACCACAGTTAACATTATAGAAAAATAAATACAGACAATATCATCATTCATACAAAAACATACATATTTATGAAATAATTTAACCATACAAACATTACCATTTCACCTACTTATTATCATGCAAACAATTATCAGACACACTGAAATCCCACTTAACACCCCTGCCCCCTAATAGTCTTTTCCAATGCCCTGGGACAATGAATAAGAGACTGGCTCCGATGCGGTACGTGTTTCCACACGGACCAGTATTCTGACGGACTAAGGGAAGAGAAAGTGTAACTTGACTGGGAAGTTTTATTGCCGACTACGGAATGTATACTGATGCTGACGCAGTGGATACTTTCAGAGTTCGCTATGTTGGTGAGTAAGTAAAATGTTAAATGAAAGGTGACGTTGTAATTGCAGAACTAGTGTAAATTACCGGGTGAAATGTTTGGATCGGCCGCCGCCATGATGGCCGGTCTGTGGTGCATGCTGGGAAATGTAGTGAAGGATGCGACGCTGTATGTGATAGACGGCGGTTATACTTTAATAACAGAGGGGGAAAACGGCTCCGTTTTCACAGTATGTTAAATGGTGCATCAGCAAGCAACATAGGATTCAAGTGCTAGCCATAAGTTTGCTTTGGAAGATGTTGTTTGAGATGGATAATAACTGAACTGTGATCACAAATGATCATATTGTAATAATTACTACATTCAGTTTTGGAAATTATTTTGAATCAACTATAAAATTAACCGTATGTGAACTTGGTTGACATAAAGAATAGTCATGATTGGTTTGGTGCAGCAGCCTTTATAAATATTTATTTCACGTCATGTGTGCCATCCAATGCAGATGATTGGCGCCAACCACATCTAGTGAAACTAGTGTAATTGGATGAGTCATATAACACAAACACTCATTGGTTAGCTATTCATCAAATTTGTGCTGACGCCAAAGGAAATCGTCAGAAGCAAGCAGGTGTTCTTCAAACGCAAATTGTCTATGCCATGCTACAATGTCTGATTCAGAAAAAGATAATGAAATGTCTGAAAGGTCGGACACAGGCAGGAGGGTATCGGGAGATGGAGACAGAGACCAACAAGACCTCCCTCAGTCTTGGCCCTATCTCAAAGAATTTTTCGAAATAGTCGAAAAGTTTAGCTTTCAATTCATATAGTGGCATCTGGCAATTTTTTTTAAAGGTTACTTTATAATTTTAAGTAGTTTTGGAGCACATACTTTTTCACTTTTACTTGAGTAAAGAGGTCAAGTTGATACTTCAACTTTTTAGCTACTGAAAAAGTATTAGATTTCATAAATAATTAGGCAGTAAGATCTGCATAACATAATCCTAAATTTCCACTCATCCATCCATCCATCCATCCATCCATCTATCTTCTTACACGCTTAATCCCAAGTGGGGTCGCGATGTGTGCTGGTGCCTATCTCCAGCCATCAATGTGCGAGAGGCGGGGAACACCCTGGAAAGGTCACCATCCATCGCACTTTTCCCATTCATGTCCAAGGTAAAAAAAAAACAAAAAAAAAACCAAAACAATTTAATTGCTCTCAATGTCACTTCCCACCCCACTTCCCCCATTTAAAATATAGATAGTGTCATAATCGCGGCCCCGCTAACCAATTACTCACTTCAATCATCTGCCATACCCTTCCCCCTCTCTAATTATCATTCATCTCATCCACCTGTTCGTTCTGCTTTATATACAATTCAGTCCAGCTATAGGGGCCAGATCATTAGCTATTCCTGTTTGTTGTTGTTTTCTTTTGTTAGTTTCTGTTTGAGCTATGTCCATATTTCATGTCCCTGCTCTCGGGGGCCAGTGTGTAAAAATGGTGTTGGTGTTTGTCTCCTGTCTCCTGGTCGTGTCCATGCTCTTCTCCGCGTGTCCCAGCTCTTCTCAGCATGCGGGGGAAGCTTGGGTTCTGGCTCTTCTCCACGGAGCCCATTCGGTTCTATTTGTTGGGGCGAGTCAGTTTTAAGTCCCATGATCTTGGCTCCTGGATGGAGCCAGTTTAAAGTTCCTCAGTTTCTCCTGGTACCATGTCTTGTCTCTGTTCCTCTCAACCACTGGGCCTGCCTGTTTCCATCTCAGCATGTCTGTCTGAGCTCGTTGCTGGACCTGAACCTGCCTGGGCACTCTGTCGATTCCTGGAACCCTGGATTTTTCTGTTCCTGCATGGATCGAAACCCCTGGTTGGGCTACGGATTCCTGGATCTCAGAACGGTCCTGTTCTGAACTGTTTCCCTGATCTGGATCTGTTCGCTCTTATCTGGATTTTATCCCTTATCTAGATCTGCTCACTGGGGTTGCAGCATCGGGGACAGTCTGGACACCTCAGCACAGCATCTCATTGGCAGTCCGCCAGCTGGATCCTGCCTTACCCGTGAGCATGGACTGAACTGTTAATCCAGGTAAGTGACTTACACTGATAATTATCTTTAGTAAAATTATCGTAGTCATTTACAAACACAAACACAAACAGAGTGCCAGCCATAGGTGGTGCCCCACCTCACCCTGCAGCCGCTGCATGCCCGCACACCCACAGCAGCCTGTTCTATTTATTTCTGTCATTAAACGTTTTGAAACCTCCCACTATCTGTCTCACCTGAATACTAGGTCCATCTGCCCTCTTTTATGACAGATTTAGATATAGATAGACAGATATAAAAAAAATATGTGCTTTTTTGTGCAAAAGATGGCTAGGAAGTATAAATTGGTTCTGCAGGTAATTGGACATAAATGTGACAGTAACAGGATTCCAGGTTAAAAAAGACGAAATATACAGAGTGATGCTTAAACGTTTATTTATACTTTTGAACTCATAACCAATGGATTTGGTCTGATACACCCTTTCGTCGATTGTAGAATTTTCTGTATGCATGTGTTTTTACTGATAAATGACCTTCTGGTATTTTGTCCCTTTATTACACTGAAAAAAAAAGATGAGTATGTTCCTCATTTACGAGAACTTCTGCAACAAGATTACTTCACACACTCCTTTGTTTTCATATTCTTGTTGATCCATTGAAGATATTTAGATATGTCTGTATACACATTAGGCACATCGGGGTATTTGCAGTTACGGTGTCTGTTGAAGGACACAACACCAACAGCCATTCCATTGCATACTAAAGGACCACCAGAATCACCCTTTAAAAGACAGAAATCTCACTAAGTTTTATGATTACAATGATCACATTATGATATACAAAAAAATATAACTTACTTGACAAAATCCTTTGTTTGTATTATATCCACCAGCGCAGATCGCTTTGGGAGGAAGACCAGGCCCCCAAATCCTTTGACAGAGTTTTGGATTTAAGAGTGAAACATTCACCACTCTCATATAATCTACTGTAAAATCCTTGTTCTCAGTTTTACCCCATCCTGCTACAGAGCAGATCTCCCCCTCTTTCAGCTTTATTTCATCTTTTGGAATCGGGAGTGTTTTCACCAAGTTGTTTAGAGGAGCTTTTCCAGACAACTGAAGATATACAAAAAAATGACACCAACTTACTAGATATTTACAAAATATCACTTTACATATAACTTGTGTTACTTACTCTAAGGATCATAAGGTCATCACCAAATCCGGCAGATATATAAGTTGGGTATTTGCACATGTATGTAATGTTTAATGGACTAATATTCCACTTCCTTAGATTGTGGGTTCCCAGAACAACATGATCGATTTCTCTGAAAATTTGAATTGTGAAATCCTTAAAAGAGAGCCTTTTTACTGTTAAGAGTAAAGAACAGACACAGAAGAGCACCCTGGACTCACTCAGCACTGCAGTGTGCAGCAGTGATTACAATGTCCTCGCTGACCAGAAACCCTCCACACACATGACCCCATTTGTTTTGCACCGAGACCATGTACAACATAGAGTTGCCTCTGACTTTTTGTCCATGTATGATGTCAGCTCCATGGACTGAAAACAGAACAAAAGGTTAAATATATGCTCTGTGAGACAGAGTAAAAATCTGATGATATCTTACCAATTTTGAGGCATGCCAGAATGTAGAAAAGCAGAAATGTGCTCAGACTGTGCATGATGCCAACAAATCAAACTTTTGTCCACAAGAGTGTAAATCTGGGTCTTTTATACATTTTAGCAGGCAGTCATTATCTTCAAAAATCTTTGTTTTTAAAGCCACATCCCTTAAGCTGACATACTTTCAAGTTTTCTCATCATCTTTGAGCCCACGACAATCTGTGTCAAAGTGTCTTCAATCTATGAATATGAACGCTTCTCACAATCTGTTACATTTTTTTTTTTACCTTCCAATCTTGTTTTCGATTTTTCAAAAAACAGCAATATTTCATTGCTTTTTTGGGGGATTCTGTTCATCACAAACAGAACTATATTCTTGAACAATTAGTAAATCTGTATAATCTATTCCACGAACAATTAAACTATCAATAATGAATGTATTTTTATGTGAAAAGCTAAGGGGATTGGATATTTTAAAGTCATACAGGGAGATTTAAGTAATCAGAGTTCTTTTGCTAATGTGCACTGGTCTGCCTCGGTGCGATGGCATTGCGCTGGGTATTTGTTGCTGTGCAGTGTGGTTGGTAAGATGTATGGCGCCAGTTCCTGTTGTTGTTGTTATAGTCAGTGATGGGAGTAACGGCATTGAAAGTAACAGCGTTACTAATGCTGTCACCTTTTTTTAGTAACGAGTAATCAAAATTATTACTCTTTCTGTAACTATAACGCAGTTACAATTGCCGACACCCCGTTACTACACGTTACTCAGGTCGCACAATGAACCTTTTTGTCATGATAGGACTTGCGCGCCTTGTCATGAGAGAGGAGAGGATGAGATTGGATGTCACGGGTGAGAAATATGGATGGATGGATGGATGGATGGATGGATGGATGGATGGATGGATGGATGGATGGATGGATGGATGGATGGATGGATGTTGCAGTAAGATGTTGCAGTTAGACAGGGAAAACGCTATCTGATGGAGTTTAGAAGCCCATCAGATACCGTTCCCCCCATGTTGGACAGGGGAAACGCTATCGGACGGGGTTTAGAGGCCCATCAGATACCGTTCTCCCCATGTTAGACAGTGGAAACGCTATCTGACGGGGTTTAGACGCCCATCAGATACCGTTCCCCCATGTTAAGCAGGGGGAAGGCAATCTGACGGGGTTTAGAAGCCCGTCAGATAGCGTTCTCCCCATGTTAGACAGTGGAAACGCTATCTGACGGGGTTTAGAAGCCCGTCAGATAGCCTTCCCCCCATGTTAGACAGGGGGAAGGCAATCTGACGGGGTTTAGAAGCCCACCAGACATCGTTCCCCCCATATTAGACAGGGGGAACGCTGTCTGGCGGGGTTTAGAAGCCCATCAGATACCGTTCCCCCATGTTAGACGGGGGGAAAGCTATCTGACGGAGTTTAGAAGCCCATCAGATATAGTTCCCCCCATGTTAGACAGGGGGAACACTATCTGACGGGGTTTATAGGCCCGTCAGATAGTGTTCCCCCATGATGTCATTTACGTTGAGTTGGAATAAATGCAAAACTCTCTGCAGGTTCTTGTCTTTGTCGTCCACTCTATTCAGCTGGCTTTTAAAACACACGGCGAGAAGGTGGGGGCCTGGTGGTGAGGGTTACGGGGGGCGAGAAACGCAAAAGTAAGTAAGTACCTAGTTACTTTTATTGTGAAGTAACTAGTTACTATAACTAATTACTTTTTCAAAGTAACGTGCTCAACACTGGTTACAACACTAGTTCTGAAGTTACTCTAACCGTATAGCAGCACTTTCACATAACCGTATAGCAGCACTTTCAGATACACTTTATACTGCTGCACTACTTGGCACTTTTCGCTTTCATTCTATTTTTATGGTTGGTGGTAAGGTATCAATGATCCTTGTGCTAGCTTAGCACTACTGTGGCTTGCTTCTCTGCCCCCCCTGTGGGGGGTCACATGATGCGGATTTCTTATGGTGTGCTGGTGAGTTCAATAAAGTGCCTATGATGTCAAGACACAGTTTTGCTGTGCCCATTTATTTTGTTAAATAGAAGATTCGACAAGTATGAGGCCAATAAACTTTCCCATGGTTTCCAACTCCTTGCAAACGCTTGCAAAGTGTTCAGCACAAAAGGGGTTATTGACCCTCCGAAAAGTCGCTAGAAGTCAGAGATTGAAGTCATCATCTAATTTGCATGTTTAGTAAAGCTTTTATCTATATATAGTAGAGAAGAACAGCTGTGGCATGGCAGAAAGTGATTAAAACACTAAATATGTTTGCAACTGAAAAATAAGTCTATAAAAAAATTGTAGTTTTCAAGGATGTTTGTTTTAGACAACTCAGCCTTTACTCCTCACTGAAGACGGTAAATTAAGGGAATTCAGTGCTATCTTTTCACGCTGCCTGTCTGACTGCATGCCTAACTGCCCACCCGTATTCATGAGTTAGCTGTAGAGTTACATTGTATTTTGAAACTAAAAATATACAAAATAATCATTTGATCTGGGACATATAATTATGCGTGGGTTGCTCAGTGGGACAGTGGGTAGCACTGCTACCTCGCAGCAAGAAGGTTCCGGGTTCGATTTACAGCCAGGGCTCTTTCTACATAGAGTTTGTTTGTTCTCACTGAGCATGCATCAGTTCTCTCTGAGTAATTTGACTTCCTCCCACAGTCCAAAAACATGACTGTTAGGTTAATTGGCTTCTCTAAATTCTCCTTACGTGTGAGTGTGTGCATAAATAGTGGTTTGTCTCTCTTTTGCCCTGCATAGGACTGGCGACCTGTCCAGGGTGGACCCCACCTCCCGCCTGTAGACAGCTGCATATAGGCATCAGCACCCCTCGCAACCCTAACTGGGATAAAGCGTGACAGAAAATGAATGGGATGGATGATATTGGTAAATTGATTTAATTGTACATATAATCATTTTTAATTCATATTTAATTGACTTATGTTGTTGTTATTAATTTAGTTTCTCCCTGTTTAGGTTCTCCAAAGTAAAAATGGGTCTTTTTAATAGTATCAAACAATGCCATATGACTTCAGTTGTATTTTTAGAAAGCTTGTTTGTTAGAATTGTTGTACTTTGTCAGAACTGTCAATGGTGTTTGAAAGGTTCACATAAACCCACAGACACATATCTGCAAGTCTGAAAGTATGAAACATACGCTTAAAAGGAGGCTAAATTTACATCATGATCAAATAGTGCATCATTCAGACTTTTACTTCTGTTTCTGATTTCCAACTGCAGATAGAACTGTGCAGTGAACACCTGATTGGCAATATAACAGCCTCAAGCTTAACTTGTGACTTGAAGACCATGTCTAAGTTGCCCGACCTCCTCAGCCAAGTCTTGATGAACCCAGAGAAAGAATCGTTTAGCCAAATGTATTTCTTTCAACTTGCAGTAGAAAATGACAATAAAAATATTTACTATATCAGAGAGTTCTTCTGTGCTTTTTACTGATTATCAATATTGACAATAAATCAGTATTTTTTTTCCACAAACAGCTCTGTCTTCCCAGCTGTTAAAGTGGCGGATAGCCAAATATTATATGATAATGTCTTGACCACTACAGCCATATTTAATAAGGTGAGATTTTGGCTAAAAAAAGAGACCAATATTTTACAATAAAGGGTTCAAGATTATATTGTTTTTTGTATGCTTTTGCTGTAGATGAACTATTGTCTAGTGGTTTTTAACTTCATATTTTTGAGATAGGCCCCATTATCTGGATGTTACCTCTATATGCAACTAAGAGACAAAAACATCATACCATGCATATATCATAAAATTAAACATTTTTGTAAAACTCTCAATCATTCATGTAGGATGTTTAATTTAACAATGTGTATTATTTCAGACAGAAGCTGTGGACCTGGTTTAAAGTGAAGAACACTGTATTCTCAAAATATTTTTTGTCCTTTATGGTTCTTCTTCTCAACAGAAAAAAGAGAAAAAGTATTGACGGGATTTCTGCAGCTTTTTGTTTTATTGCGCAATTGAGATGAAGCCTAGAAACAGCCAGAGTGACCTAAATTAGAAGCACAATCTCTCCTCCCACACACTATGAGGTTGAGCTGGATAATTGATCCCTTCTAAAAGTCTGCAGATTAACACGTTTTTGTCTCTACAGCATGTTTGAGCCAGTCACGATATTTAGAAATGTCGGTATAGACATTGGGCACATTTGGGTAGTCGCAGTTATTGTTTAGGTTGAATGACACAACACCAACAGCTATCCCGTTGCACACCAGAGGGCCACCAGAATCACCCTGTAAGAATGAGAATTTTTTCAGTTTTTATAGATGTATCCAATAATGTTTAGATTATATACTCCAAACATAAAAGACATACCTGACAGAATCCTTTTCTTGTATTATATCCACCAGCACAGATCACATTGGGTGGAAGCCTATACTGCCACTCCTTATTGCAGACTTCTTTATTGATGATTGACACTTTGACCACTCTCAGATCATTACTGAAGTTGTTGGTTTCAGTTTTACCCCATCCAGCGACAGAACACATTTGATTGTCATCTAAGAAAATATCAAACCTTGGAATGTGAATGGTCTTTACTCTGTTGTTTACAGAAGCTTTCCTTGAGAGCTGAAAACACACAAACGGAAAAAAGCATTTAGACTTACAAATGTCCAAGTTCTGTTTGCACATCCATGAGTGAATAAAAAAGTCAACACCTTTATAGGATTTAGCTTTTTTATAATAACAATAACAAAACATTTAGAACTATCAATATGCACAAGTCTTTGTATGTAATATATAATGTGATGCTGCTACATTTTGAAATGAAGCAGTCTTGGCTTGGTTATCATGATAATATTTGTGATGGTAAATATTATCATTTTAAGGTTCAATTATAATGAATACCATACTTTATTGTCACTACAAAACCCTTGTTTCCCTAAAGCATTAAAGAGGTTGTCACTGCAAATATAAGTAGAAAGTGGATTTTTTTTTTACTATAAAGTTAGTCTTTAATGGAGCAGTGCTTTATGAAATAAAAATTAAGATTTTTCTTAAACATGCAGAGGGAAGGGGAAATAAAAATATTAAAAATTGTTGTGACTTAGGTTTTTAGCTAAATGTTTGCACTCTTCACTATGTTTTGTATAAAGCCTCTTACCAGCCTGTCAGATATTCAATACCAGCCAAGTGTCTGCTTATACGTCACAGGACAACAACAACAAAAAATGATATTGCCATGTTCTTCTGTTTTTAAAACCATTCTACAGATCTTAGATTAGATTAGATTAGATTAGATGAGCTTTACTGATCTCACAGCGGAGAAGTTCACTCGTCACATATTGGCATAGAAGTTACAGAAGGTGCAAACAGGGAGGAAAAGGTGCATTAAGAATAAGCAATATATATACAGTATATCCAGGTATATACAGTATATCAAGATAAATAGGATTAAGGTGCAAGTGTACATGTATCACACACAATGAAAAACAAAATAAAAATAAGAAATAAAAAAATAAGAAATAAAAATATGTACAATATCTATCTCTAATCTGCAAATGAATTTGTCAAAGCTTTCAATATTTAATTTGTTTGTAAGCATTCATCAGTGTAAATAGAGGGTGCATTTTTTGCATATATAATCTTAAATTATATAGTAAAAAAAGGTAACTTTACAAAGTTGTTAAATTTATCAGAAGCTTCTTTCCAAAATTAAGAAAAAAACATATTACTCTACCAAACCTCTCTAAAAGTGAAAATGGCATATTCAGAATCAGAATCAGAATCAAGTTTATTGCCAAGTAGGTTTGCACTTACAAGGAATTTGACTTGGTGTTGTTGGTGCAGACAAAAAACAAAACAAAATAGCAAAATAAGATAGAATATATATAAAATATATATATATATATACACACAGAAGCTATATACAAACAGTAGACATGTCTGAATGTCTCCCTGATGTTAGGCCTCTGTTCATATCATTTACGGTTAATATGGTCTTGGAAAAAATTTATAAAAACTTTGCACATGTAGAACAATTTCCTTTGTTGATATTCGATTAGAGGTTATTACCATTAAATAATTTCCTCTTTATCATCTAATTCTGTACTTAACCTTTATACAGACGATGCCACTGGGACATTTTGTGTGGATTGACAGTCAATATGGGAGCATGAGAAATAATTAAAATAATGATGCTATTAGTAGTACTACTGCTAATAACATCTAACATAATGTTAATAACAATTATGGTGTAACATAAAACTGATAAATGCTGATAAGATTGATAACCATGATGAATATAAAATATTTCATATAAAATACTTATATAATATAAATATATAGGTTAAAATATACTTACCTTGAGAAGCATGATGTCATTGCCATACCCTATATCCCGGTAATCTGGGTGTTTGCATGTGTATTCAATATTTATTTTCTCTTTGTTTGAACTCTTGAGATCATGACTTCCCAAAACAACCACATCAGGTTTGCTGAAATTAATTAGGATAAGGAGATTATTGATATACTATATCAGCAACAAATAAACAGAATTAAACCATAGACTTACGGTGTACCGCAGTGTGCAGCAGTGACCACAAAGTCCTCACTGATCAAAAAGCCTCCGCATACATGATCCCCAGCGCTTTGGACTGAGACCATGTACTGCATTGAGTTTGCAGGGGCCTTTTCTCCATTTATGATGTAAAATCCGTAAACTAAAAATTTAAGTAAAAAATACAGTAGGTCAGTGATTTTTTTATTTAAGAAAAAAACATTCCTGTATTGTTCTTACCTGTTTTCGGGAAGAATATCAGAACAACAAAAAGGTGAAATTTATTGAAGCCAAACATGGTGTCAGCAAATGGTGCCAGACTGATTCTAGCTGTGCAAAAGTTTTTAAGCTGACCCTTTTATATACTTTCCCTGCAACTCTTCTTATCTAGGAAAATCAGTATTTGCTTCATTTTTAACCACATCCCCTTCAAATGCAACAGGAAGAACTTGAATTATCTTTTGTAATCTTGAATTCTCAAAATTCTGAAGCAAATACTATGTAAGTAAATATGAGAAACGCTTTTGTTCTCTGTCGTAATTTCTGCAATACCATTTTCAGTGTTGGGAAAGTTCTCTTTCTACGTGAACTAGTTCAAAGTTCAGATCACACATTTTAAAATGAACTAGTTCAGTTCATAGTTCATAATTCAAAATTTTGAACTAAGTTCACAGTTCCAAAAAATGAACTAGTTTATAGTTCTTTTTTTTCATATATTGCTCAATTACATCATAGCCTACTGTAGAACCACAGACAGCAATTATTTTATCCTTATCCAACCAGGGTTTACATTAGCATTGAGGGGACAGCATTTCCCCATTGTTGCTTTAATGCTTTGTTGCAGTCCATTCACTTCTCACTAGTAGCAGCTGCAGCTTTCACCCCTACAGTATATTCTAAAAAACATCAGGAAAAATGTGCTGCTTGAATGGTCTTTTTTATGAGGAATTATTAAAAGAAAAACAGGTAAGTAGTCTTTAAGGTGCAAATGCTTTTTTAATTTTTCTAATTTTTTCTATTTGAAATTCCATTTCAGTACATACTAAAAAGGAATACTGGAATCCTGGAAAATTATACCAGGCAGGTTTACATGAATAGTAAAACCCTCAAGAACATTTTACTAACACAAACTGAGGGACCAGGCTGAGGTAGGAATTTAAGGTTACTGAAGTGCGGATTTTTTTACTGAAAGCCGGCGGGCAACGTTTGCAGAGAAATGTAAGATTGTTGCCATCATCCTCACCGACCACCTGGTCATAAAACTGTTTTAAGTGATCATACTGCTGCTTTGTCGCCTCCACGGTTGCCTCCATGCTGCTGTGGCTTCCACGCTGCATTTTGTTTTGATGACGCACACGGCTGTAGGCTACGACGCTGGTAGCTGGTGTTGCCAGATTGGGTGTTTTTCCCGCTACATATTAAGGCCTGTTTACAGTGTGATTTAGCCGGGGTTTCGCCTGGAGGGCTCTATAGAAATTTGGCAACCCATTGAACGGAGTTGAACTGAGAGAGCGTGCCGACAGACACCAGAATGAACGAGTTCTTAATAACGTTCATCAGGCAGTAATACAGTACGTTCAGTTCACGTTCGCCCAAAATATGAACGAGTTCATGAACTTTCGTTCAATGAACTCGTTCAGGCACAACACTGACCATTTTGTAATCTACACTGCTTCTTCGATATAACATGTTCTTTTGCTCTGGTTTATGTGACATTATTGTGCTGATCTGTCAATTCCAACTTTTCCTTTATTTTCCTTTTTGGTATTATGCATTCACTGCTCATTAAAAATGGTGGAGGCCATAGAAAATATAATCAATAAATGCAGAATTAAGATCATGTGGCCTGGAAAAAGTTACCACACTGACACGATGAATTGAAATCTCTGAGATCAAAATAAGCCTCACAGATGGGATCCAGGGCGTACCGTTACAAATGACAGAAGACCTCAAAGGCAGTAAGCAAAATCAGTTTATCCATTGATTTGTTAAAGCTGTTGCCACCTGTTCACATATTTCAGATGGCACATTAAATTCTTACTGGAAAGTTATGCGATTTGATAATCTATATCTTTTATTTGCATATGAAAATTCTCAGTCATCCGGGTCATGGCAACTACAAAACAGGCTTAAACCAGAGAAATTGATCTGCCTTTGAGTTAGAAACTACTTATGAGGATGGACCTCTATAGGTTTTAAATCCCTCCAACTACAGGTTGCTCAGGTGTTAGCACACAGAATGGACAAGGACTCCTGTATAAGTGTCAAAAAAATGTCAGTCCTCTATTTATTTCCTGCACCTATAGGGAAATGCTAAAAAGAATGTTGTTTTCTAAACTTGATTTTAACTCCATTAAATAGTTTTTAATTCAATCTATACTGAATGTAATGATCTGCAATACCCCTTTACCATGGGACCGGTGTGAGTAGCTCACAAATTGTCTTTTTTCCTTTTTACAAATGATAATTGCACCTCAACAAACCTGCAGTAAAGAAGCACTAACCATTCAGTGGGTGGGTTTTCAGCTTAACCTATCCCAGGCTCCTCGTAATTCATGGTCTGTGGCGTAAACACGGTGCATCTGAAATGCACAGGAGTGAACTTCTGGTGTGAAGGCACTCTATGGCATTATCCCATTTAGAACTTTTTGTTGGGATCCTGAGGCTTGCCCACCAGGGGGCGCCGGGGATCCCTTCCTGAGGTTTTGTGTTACTGTTGGGATCTGGGGTTCTGTCTACCTTTCTCCACCAGAGGGCGTATTGGATCTCCTGAAGCTGGAGCTGACTTCACCAGCTGTTCCTCATCTGATCATCAGGAGACCAGTACTTAAGTAGTAAGTGGTGTTTAGTCAGTCCCGGTACAGCAAACCCTGAGCCAACCTGTCTGTCTAGTCTCCTGACTACAAGACCTGAACCTGAACCTGATCCATTTTGTCTTCTCTGCTTCCCAGGTTGAACCTGTCTGAAACCAGAAACCCCTGAAGAGTTTCTCTGTTGGAAATCTGTCTATCTTATCTCAGAAGAACCCTGGAGAACCAAATCTGTCAACGATTTGCCAGCCTGCTTCCTGAAGAATCTGGAAGGGAAACTCAAACCTGGTGATCTGCAAGCTCTTAACCAAGCTCAGCCTCCACCAAGCCCTCAGCCTGCCGACAGCCTCTAGACCAGGGGTGTCAAAGTAGTTCCAGAAAGGGCCGTGTGGCTGCTGGTTTTCTTTCCACCCAAGCAGTAGCACACCAGACTCTATTCATCCCATCAAGTCATCAAGTTAAGACTAGACTCACCTTGATGAGATGAATGGAGTCTGGTGTGCTACTGCTTGGGTGGAAAGAAAACCAGCAGCCACACAGCCCTTTCTGGAACGACTTTGACACCTGTCATGACACTTTTAGCTTTGCAGGCCAAAAATAATAATACTTGTTGCTTCTAGTGATACATGTAAAACATTAAGGGTTTTCTGATTTGTGATTGTCTTTTACTTCCTTTTACTAAGACCTGCCGTGTAATGTTAATCATATTCTATCAATGTGGCATCTGGAGCAAAAACTGCTTGTGTAAATTTAAAGGATACTCTGATGGACATTATAACAACTGTCTTTCTCTGGATATCATACTTTACTGCAAGTGGTGTCAGCGAGTAGGGCAGGAAACTCTGGAAACCAAGACAGATGATGTGTGACCCGTTTCGTTTTACGAAGTGCATCAATCACAAACATAATGGTCACTAATCTTCTCGTCTGTCTGGGAAGAATAACAAGATTAGGTTTGTGCTGATTAACAGTAGCGCTGATGTTGCTGTCACTGGTCAGGAAGTCCCAGAGAATAACCCCAGGTGATTTATGATGATCCATGGTCAGGCAGAGCATCAGAACCTTGAAGACAATAGCAGGCAGGAGGAACAAGAGGAAAAATCAGAATCCGTAGTCAGGGGAGAAGTCCAGTGTCAGAGCCAGGTGATCAGAAGTCCAAAAAAGCATCAGAGGCAAATCCAGGAATAGATTGAGAAACAGTTCCAGGTAAGGGAACGGCCACGCAGATCAGGGTCAGGGAGAACATGCAAGCAGTCAGATCAGACAGGGATCAGGCAGGGGCAGAAACAGGGACAGATCAGATCAGGCAAACAGGAAGGAAGTCAGGAATCATAATGCTGGATAGATAGATCCCACCAATAGCTCAAAATAAAATTGCATTCATGTTGGTCTGAAGGCTGGTCATATACCGATAGGTGCAGGTGCATTGGGTGAGTAGCAATGAGAATGGGGTGGAGCTGATCAGGTGTGTCTTGTGAGGAATCAGACCAGCATCAGCGCTGAGATCATGACAATCAGTTATTCTGACTAAGTGGACTGCACACTGCAGCTCTATAAAAGCATGCAGAAATTGGTCATTCTGTGCATGATGCAAACAAATCAAACTTGCCAATTAAGAGTGTTAATCTAGGACTTCAATAGATATTAACAGTCAGTCATTATTTACAGAAATCTATATTTTTAATAGCTACATCTGTTAAGCTTGTCGATCTGTTACATTCAAGCTCTAATCCAAAGCCTAAATAAAAAAGAAAAATGTTTTTGGGAGGAAGACTCCCTCTTGAACATTTCAATGTAAGTCAGGGGGTTGAAGCATGGAGATAAATGGGTTTTCCAAATGGACAATAACCCTGCGCATGTCACAAGTTTAAGTAAGCATCTGTCACAATGGGGGAGGAGGTTGTTTGACCGGACCCACATGCAGACAAAAGCTTGAGGTTAGAGTCCTGCAACGGGTCAGGTACCCGCGGGTCCCCGACGGGTCACCCGCTAAAATGCTCTTTTACGGGTGAAAAATACATAAATAAAAATAAACGGGTACGCGGGGTCGGGCGGATATTCTTTTAGTGTGGGCGGGTTGTTGGTGATTTTTTTGTGTGCGTGTGTGTTGTTATGGACATCAGAAATGTTATATTAATCAGGCACTGGGGTCACCCTTGTTGTAGCTTAAAGCCCTGCCGGCAGTGTGGGCTTCCCTCCAAAAAGGCCACAGTTAGTGCATACACGTCTGCTGCAGTGTTAATGGCACTGTTCTGCAGCACAGCGTACTATAGCCTATAACTTGATGTGTTAATGGGTCGGGTTGCAGGTTAAATGTCAACGGGTCGGGTCGGGTTTGGATTTGAATTGAAGATATCCGCGGGTGACGGGTCGGGTTCGGTAGTCATCCTAACGGGTTCGGGCGGGTGCGGGTTGGTAAAACTCGACCCGTGCATGACTCTACTTGAGGTGGTTACTTGAATGTTTTAATGACAAAAGTTTAACAGAAGCAAAAATCCAAAAATATAAATCCACAAAAAATCCAAAATGCTCAAAACCAAGCTTCACACTTGGCATAGCCGTGTGTGACGTACACACG